GAGTCATAGCAGTGATACGTAAACCGCCTGTGGTTGTTCTTTATTTTTACCGTACCTATGTATTAAATTGTAACCTTGTGTCATGAATAAAATATATATGTATAGGTATATAAATACTCGAAAAACATAACTCCTGGCGAAGTCAGCTAAAAAAGTCACCAAGGAATTTTCTTCACAGATCAATATATCTAATAGGTCTTTACCTATGAAATAATATAATACCTAATAATATATAATAAATATAAATATAATACCGATTGACCAAAGCTGGTTGCAGATGTGATCACCAGAGCTTGCACCTACCGACTATTACTTTTTACAAAATTTAGACAAGTGGGTAAAATATTCAATGCCCGAGAGGCAGTACAAAATGCCTTTGTTGCCTCCCGTCCAGCTGATTTTTACAAGAAGGGCATCAATAAACTGCCAATGCGTTGGCAAAGATGCGTCGATTGCATGGGTGATTACTTCGAATAACAGAAATAAAAAAGTTTGAAAAAATAAGTACTTTCACTTATTGCATACAAAACGGCAATTTCATAGGTAAAGACCTATTATAAAGTGAAAAAGTACTAAAGTGTCAAATACTTATAATATTACGAATATTTCAGGAAGCACTTCTTTCAAGCTCAGTTCATGTTCGATTCTAAAATTTGTCCTACCTGACTGATTTCTCAACGCAGAGCTAAGGCCGCTGGGGCTACGAAAATTTCAACTTTTCAGCAAGCACAATTTAAATTTTGTCAGCTGATGCGGAAAGATTTTTGTAAGTTTAATTTTCAAAGTTAAAAACACAAAATACGAAATAACTACGCAAGCGAAGCCGCGGGCTATAGCTAGTTAAGAATAAGAGATGAAATTATTATTTTAAACTTCTACTTCTTACTACACCTTTTTTTACATTAACAGATGAGTCACTCTTGGTTGTCATATTAATCTACGCTCTCTATTGAAACGTAGTCCCACGCTTGAAATTTATATTGGCGTAAAGAAACGTCGTAATGTTGTTATACATAATATACAGTGTGTCCCAAAATTGAACGTCCAAAGAAGTGCACATAAAGGATTTTAATAAGATAACGTTTTGAACTTATGATACACCCGTGTTGTGAAAATATTTTTTTTCAAATCTACTTTTAAATCTAAGAAGTATTATATAATTTTACAATCATGATAACATGCGCCAACTTTTAAGACTTTGCCGTTACAGTTTGGATAAATAAACAATGGTGTCAAAAATTAGTTGACTCATATTTTCTTTAATTTTTTAACAAATGATCAAATGAAAGGTTTTTTTATTCAAGATACTGTAACATCCCCGGTTTTAGTCATAACAGTAATCGACAGAGGGGAATTTTCACGCTACTCATACAAAAAAGAAAATACCTACACACACGGCGTCACAGCTCTGAAAAAATTAGTCCTAGGTATCAGTTTTTACCGATTTTCAATAAAAAGATGAGATTTAGGTATGATGAGATGAGGTAAGGCGCTCACCCGGTAGGAGGGCGCCTAACCTTTCCGTTGAATTTCAAAACACCCTGTATACTACAATTGCAAGTACATATACACATAAGAATATGTATTTCCCATATTTTATTAATTATTACACTATTGTGAGAAATGACTTCTCGTCATTTGTACTGGACATGTAATTGTAAACTGGACTACAGTTCTTTTTTTTTATAAAACAAAAGGCTTAGAAGATTTCTGTTGGTATTTTTACAAAGATGGTTTTTAGTGTGATATTGTGGTTGGCAGGTTCTGTACCATTTTTTTCTGGTGCTTACCTTTATAAATAATCTAATCTAATTTCATAATACCATATAAATAGTCCGTGTAGTGATGGATTAAGAATACGGAATGTCACTACCCCAATTCATCCCGTGAATGTCATAAGAGTCGACTAAGGGCTCAAAAACAACGCAGGATACCAGCACTTTAAAAAGAAGGAAAACTTGACACAAACCCTATATCAACCCGTCTGGCCAGCGTGGTATACGAGTAGTAGGCCAAAACATCCTTTCTAAGGAGAGGTTTATGTCCAGCAGTGGACTATTAACGGTTGATGATGATGATGATGATATAAATATATTATTAGGTTAACTTGAATACGAAATTTCATAATCCTAAGAAACATTTCCGAATTATAACTATTAATAGGCCATAACCGGCCGAAACGATATAAAATTTTCTACAACAATTATCTCAGATTAAAAAATGTGTTCAAAAGTTCCAAAAGATTTTAACTTTCAAAACATAAACAACCGGTTTGGATGCTTGCCTTTTGAGTAACATTCTGATCGTGACTCGGATCCGTGAGTTTTATGATTAAATTGTTCTACATTTAAATATGGCAAGAAATATGTATATTTTTCTAAACTTTACAAAGATCGTATTAAACCCTTCTCAAAAACAACAGACATCATCACATTCGTACCATAAATTATGATCCAAGATTAAAAAGTTCTAAATTCAATTAATCTTAAATTCACTCTCATGTTAGACAAACTGTCAAGAATGACAACTGTCAAGAATGACGACGAGTGCGGTCATTCACTTCTTCAATCGAATAATCGAAAAAAATGGTAACACACAATCGAATTATGCAGATTATCGATGCACGTACAGAGTTACGTGTTGTTTTTTTTTCTCATCAATGAACATCATCGTCTGGTATACATTTTTTTTGCGATAACATCGAATGAAATAGGTTTTGCAAATATTTAGTAATGCGTTGTTTTTTTGCTTCGATGAAAGTCACCAATTGTGAGTGATAAATCTTGGAGAATATATATCTATGATTTAGTTGTTATAGACAAAATGTTGTGTGTTATATCAATACTCAAGTCTCGCTTTTAGCCAAACTCAACAATAAATCGTGACTTATTTATGATATATCCACTGGCCCGTTGGTCTAGTATTTAGTTACCCTGACTGCTAAGCCGCAGTTTGTGGGTTTGATTCCCTCCCAGGACAAATAAGTTGTAAGTTAGTAACCATAGAAAACGCTCTGCCTAGTTTGGGATAAGACAGCCGTGTGTGGGATGTGTGAGGGTATTATCATTATCGTTAGACATACAGTCATGCCCCTTCTCTTAGGGATACACCAAATCGGTTGCCTGCCAAACCTGTAGCCGTCAGAAGACAAGATTGAGGAGTGTAAGTAATAACTAGAGCTAGCAGGAGAGGCCCAGGTTTGCACTCGAATTGATTATCCTCGGAAAGCAGAGCCTGAACTAAAAGATTATTATTTTGAAATATCTTCAATAAAATGTCTACGATAACCTGTCAAGTAAACAGATTCTATTCTATCTAAGACTTTGGCGTCAGTACGTTATTTGTAAGATTCTATGTTGCTATTCTATTCTATTTAGTGCGATATCAGTCCTTTTTGAACCCACTTCCAGAAAACTAAATCTAATGTTACTGTCTGAGTCAACTAATAATCTCACGAACTACTGGTTCGAATTGGAAAAAACTTTTATTGTTGGATAGCCTATTTATTGAGGAAGGAAATCACGAGGAAGGCTAACGTCACGTTACGACCAATAGGAGCCCCGCATCAATGAAAATTTATTATTTTTTAGATGAGCAGACCAAGTTGTGCTGGTCAACTAGTAGTTATATCTAACAACAAATATTAAATTCACAACGAGACGTGAAAACCGTTATAAGTGGATACTTAACGCGTTTTACTAACTGTAGACTTGAGCAACTGTGTCAGTACTAGAGTGATATTCTTTTTTTAAATAAATGTATAGGAACACTGAGAAGCAATTTTTAAATTAAGATAAAATAAACTAATTCCTTTCTTAAAAACAATAGTTTGAAAATCGAATTTGTTTTTAAGCAACTTTAAAATTTTTCTACTAAAAATACTCGTTATTTGAACGTTGTTCTCACGTCTTATAAAGTTGAAATTGTCTTAATATATAAATGTAGTAGATGGTACAATTCTTTTTTTTAAATAAATGTCTAGGAACACTGAGAAGCCCTTTTTAAATTAAGATAAAATAAACAAATTCCTTTTTTAAAAAACAATAGTTCGAAAATCGAATTTGTTTTTAAGCAACTTTAAAAAGTTTTCTACTAATAAATACTCTTAATTTGAACGTTGTTCTCACCTGTTATAAAGTTGATATTGTCTTAATATATAAACATTATGTAGTATGTGGTACGCGCATCTTTATTATTATACCATAGCGTTAAACAACATAGAGAGGATTTTTTTATTAACAAAATTACTGTGTGACTACATTTTTATATACAGAAACGGAGAGAAAGCTGAAATCATCCAAATAATTTATGATTTAACGGCTACTGGTTACGTAAAATGTTATTATTAATTTGGTCGACTAATAAAATACTTTTAGCTTTCTTTTGGGATCTGAATTTACACAACTCATGTTTACGTAAATCTTAATGTTACCGTACCGTTTTATTGCTTCCTAGTGCACTGTCGCTGGCGAATAGACAATAATTTTATTAATTAACTTTATACAATTGAATAAAATACTTTTAATACGAAAATATTTCAACGTTTTAATAAGAAATTGAAAATCTTAATTTATGCCTTTAGAAGTATTTCGTACAGTTAAAATAAAATAAATACCTAATCAGAAGCGACTTCAATGCGCCTAAATTATGATAAATTGAAATAAGCTTCATTTTTCTTCCCTAAAATTTCACAGTTCGATTTTCACTGTTTTTTGTTTAGAGTGGACGTACCTTAATAAAAAAATTGAATAAAAAAAAAACGAATTTTAGTATCATGATCGATTTACAATTGACAAAGATATCGAATATATAATTAATATTAATATATTTTCTTCGTCTTCCTGTATCTCTGAAGCTGGTTAAGAATGAAACTGTTGCAAATAATTTGGATACTTACTACAATAATTCACTTTTTTAATAAAAAAAATAATCCTAGTGATTTTGCCACATGTCAGCACCCACAAAATCAAATACCGAAATTATAAGAAAAAAAAACTTACCGTAAAAAATATATAACACGTAATATCAGCGAACTGCATGACCACAACACTAATACAATCAGAATGAAATAAAAAAAATATATAAATCTTAGTATGTCGTGCGCCGGAGTCGAAAGCTCGACAACTTGTGGTTTGTGGCAGCGGATTGCTTGCGAGTAACCATCTGTAACGGATTCCATAGAGTTGGTAATACCGGAATTAACAATAAAACAATATGAGAATCGCTTTCCTAACATATATTTTAGAAATCAATTCATAAGAATTTTTAATTAACTTAGTATTTTTAGTACTCTTATATAATAGTACACTGCTGAATGGCCTCTCCTTAGAAAGAAGGTTTCAGCCTACTATACGACGATGGCCAGTCGGCTTGGTATAGGGTTTTTCTCATGTTTTCTTTCTCTTTGCAGTCCTGTTGTCATACTTAGTTACGACACCCACGGTACGAATAGGGGTAGTGACACTCTGTATTCTTAATCCACACTGAAACGAATAACGATAACTGTAGTTAATTTAAAAGAAAATGTGAAAAATATATCTAATTGATCAAATCTTTAAACAGTGCGGTTTTAACAACTCTATGTACATTCTCGCTATCATCGTCGCACGCGCAGCTCTCACCGACTTTGTTTATTTATTATCTCTTAATAAACAATCATGCCAAATGTACTGCCTAATACGTATACTTTTTGTTCTATTATTTAATGATGACATTTGTTATTGACTGTTTCAAATACAATTGTCTACGTATTTTTTTGAATTTTCTATTTGTCTTATCATGATTGAAGATTTGGAATGGGTAATATTTATTGGAAGAGGTATAGCTGAGTCCCAACGTGCACTAAAAAAAAGGGTCTGGATGTCTTGATGAAAGCTGTTATCGGATCCCTCCTATTTCAAGCGCAGTTAACACACACAGTGGTTTTAGTGAGTTCGATTCCTCAAGCCCCGGTGTGGTGACAGCCCATGGGACAGCATATTATACACGTAGAAAAGTTGTGGTAAAGAAATGCCAACTAAAATTTGGATTTATCACTATCACACATTTAGAAGCCTGCCTAGGGCGCTCTTGATACTTAATCCACCTCTGATGATAACCTAGCTTTAAATTTCAGTCTGATATTTTAAACTAAAATTGAGTTCATCAGGCACTAACTAATATTTCATTGTCTAATGTGTTATAACGAAACTTGTCTCATCATGAGACAGTTGAGTTTATAAAAGAGAATTTATACAATTTATATATTTATAATTAATTTAACACAGTTTTAATGTAGTGTTTGTTCTTAGATGTAAGCATTTTTAACTTATCCGGCTCGAAGGACCAAAATGTTGAGGCTGTTAATATATTTTCCCAACATTACTGATGAATTTTGTTTATAGGTGAAGTTAGGCATAAAATACCAATGTTGTTGTTATCAGCGTTAATTGAAAACTGAAAATCAACGTATAAAGTAAAACCTTATAATCTACGATTCATTGAAATACAGATTCATTAATTTAGGTAGAAAGTTTGATGCATTTGACAAATGTATTGATTTATTTCATTACTGGATGTTGCATGTGCACGAGCACATATCATTCTCGTTCACATTCACTCTTACTATTTCTGTTAGAAACAATCGTGTCCACATTTATACACGGTTTTAATACCTCCACTTAGGTAACAATATAGCTTCTTTTTAATAGAGAGCAAAACATCTGACGGTAAGTTACTTGTAATACAAGTGCTTTGCCAGGCATGGTTATTATTGCTACTTTAAAATTTTAAATCATATTATAAAATGTTTATTTCAGTCACAGCGATTACACCTGTGATTATGATTTGGTCACAGATAAATATACATGTCATCCATTCCAAAATTAATCAAAATTCTTGTTAACAAATCACAGTGCTGTTATGAATTAGTCTTAGCTGTGATTATATATTATCATTTATAAATCATTTCATATCGCAGGTGATTGTGATTTCATTCGATCCCTAGTTGCCACCCTTTCAGCACCTCCCCTCGGAATCAGGGGGAGGCTGGGTTTGGGCACCAGTATAGGCACCAGATCTTGAGCACTGACCTTCACCTGCGCAGAAGTCTATTTTTGGGTTCCTTATGAGGTATGAAGTAGGACGGGGGGCAATTAAATCATAACTTCAGCCAGTGATTGGCTCACCGATATGGTCGCTGCTCCTGATTCGGTTTCTCGTACTTAAGTACGACGAGTACACTTCCGAGCAAATTAATAGGGTCTTTCTTTTTTATTAATTAAGTCTTTCTTAATTATTAATTTATTCTCTAATATGTACCTATAATACAATACGACGATGAGGAAATGGAAACTGTACCAGTACCAGTTTTAAATGAGAAAGTGAATTGGTGGAAGCTGTCACTCCTATTTCACCCTAATAAATATTTTTTCAACAAAATTAATACTAACGTTTTTCTTATTAAAATTTTAATTATTAACATTTTCTCTTACCATAGAATAAATAAGAAGTTACATATTAACTTTACTACGTAACTTCTTGTGGTTTTGATCAATTTTTAATGCCTGTTGTCAATAGTAAAAAGCACTACACGCTTTTTTCAAATTTTATTAAAATATATTTTCTATTTTTTAGTTTGGTTTTCTATAAAAAGTGTATTTTTTAGTTTTTTTAAACTATTTTTTTTTTCATTAGTCTATTGTCATCGGTCCTCGATATATCTACAAAGTTTGAACGAATTCTGACCGCTTAAAGTCAGTCAAAATCACGCCAAAAGGAGTCGGTGACAAACAAACATACAAGTGAAGCTATTATAAAGCGTGTGAAGATAATATATCCCTTTATTGTACACCAGATATAATAATTGTCTTAAACTAGGTTAGTAGGTACACTTGGCGGCCTTATCGCTCAGAGGCAATCTCTTACAGGCAACCGTGGTATGGAGAGAAAACATGAAGGGGAGGAGGTATTGGGTAGTGGCTGGTGTATTAGTAAATAGAACAGAAGCTGAAATCAAGTAGTATACACATAGCTATAAAAAGTGATAATTACACATAGTATCTATTTGTTGGACTAAGGTGAATATATAATATTTTTATTGTATTCTAACTAAGAAATAAAAAAATAAAAATTATAATTGTAAATGTAGGGTAGCTGTAGGAGCGAGCGCGAGACAGTATTTGTGTCAAGTAAATATTGTGATCAGAAGTGTCGACACTGACATTGCAGTTATCATGCTTGGTCATATGCACCATCTACAAAATGATTCACTTATTTGGATGGTGATAGGCACTGGGAATAACTTGAGATACGTAAACCTCACAGATATTTACGTAAAGTTAGGAAAATCTTTTTGCAAGAGCCTACCAGAATTCCATGCGATCACAGGTTGTGATTATAATCCTGCATTTTTCCGAAAAGGAAAGTTGAGGCCTTTTAAAATATTAAAAATGAAATGGAAGAGTACCAAAAAGCTTTCATTAAATGTGGTAAACACGAATTATTCGAAAATAATAATGAACAACAAAGCACTTTTGATATTATTCAACGGTTTATATGTGAGGTATACAATGTCGGTTCGATAACTGATGCAACACGGCTTCAACTATTCATTAAAAAATCACACTTTATTATTTGATGAATTTAGATCGGTATTTTACACACCTTTAGTACCGTTTACCTGCCGAAGCCACGGTAAACCAAACTTCATAATGGTCCATCGTTCTTACCTGTGTTGGGAGCCTGCGCTGACAAACTTTCAGCTTTTATAAAATAACGAAGGTCTGGGGTTCACGGGCTCTTGCTCTATTAAATATTCTGACCGAGACTTGTAAAAATTTATGTTTACGACATCTATGTTTCAATATAGGAACTAAGAAAGTAATCAACTTTACATGAAACATGTGGAACAATCCAAGTTATTAAATTGTTTATTAGTTCAAGAATGTGACGCTAGATAGAGCTTTAACGAATTTCGACATGTTCATTCCACAGAAAATTATGATTGTCTGTTCTACGAGTGATGACTAACAGTGTAAGTATTTTCCCCACTTAGTGTGTAAAAAAACAGTTAGTTATTGTTTGTCGTTATTTATTTCTAATGCTGAAACTCATTCTTGGCTACAGTATAATAATGACCTTAAACTAATAACATGTTAAAAGCTAGCGGGTGTAGATGCGGTTATGGAGAGTTTTTTATATTGGAGCTAATTTAGACATGAAAGTTATTGCTATTGTTAAATCATATTCGCACGATGAAATATTTAAATTTCACCTGTGATTGTGATTTGGTCATGGTCAAAGAGATATGACATCAAAATCAATCGTTTTTTTTTTAACAAAGATTCTAAAGATACTAAAGAAGAAAAATAGAAAAATAAAAGAAATAGAAAGAAATCTAAAAATACCAAAAAGAAATAATTTTTTTTTTAATTTCTAGATTTAGACCATTCGCGAGCCTTTCGCTAGAGTAATAATATTAATAAGTCGCAGTGGTTTTGTAAATTAGTCACAGGTGTGATTTTATCATTTGTGAATCATATAATCACAGGTGAAGAGAGAGAAGGAAACTTGATACAAACCCTATACCAAACCGTCTGGCCAGCATGGTATAGTAGGCCAAAACCTCCTTCTAAGGAGAGACTTATGTCCAGCAGTGGACTATTAAAGGCTGTTGATGATGATGATGGTGATAATCACAGGTGATTGTGAATGTATTCCATCCGCAGGAGCTATTAATAAATAAATAAATAGTCATAATTTACATTGCAATTTGCTCCTTGCTACTGTTAAAGAACATTTTCTAAAGGGTTTGACGGAAACTGTACCGTGTATATATATATATATAGTCTAAAGCTGTCAGAACGTTTTAACACTTATGTGCCAAACTTTATTTTTATCAGGTACACTAAGAATTTCGTATTTGATTGTAATAAACACAACACGACGCAACTAAATTTCCAGACTTGGCGCTTTTGACTTTGACTGACTTTGAATTTAGTTTAAAGCAGCTAGTACTTTCGTAAATTTGGTAAAATGCAATGAACGCAAGTGAAATATTGACAAAACTCCCAACTTTTTATTCGCCTTGGTACCATTCTACTATGTGTTGTATTTGACATTTTAATTAGGTACAATACTTTAAACTACATTACATATATTTCGTATTTTAAATACATGTAAACAGTTTAGTTTTGGTAAAGGCTGTTGATGTGATGTGAAACAGTTTTTTGTATCTCGTCATCAACATCATCGACAGCATTTAGTAGTCCACCGCTGTACATAGGCCTCTCCTTAGAAAGAAGGTTTTGTCCTACTATACCACGCTGGCCATAGTGGTTGGTATAGGGTTTAGGTACCTGCACACGGTCGCTAGGAGGGAACTGAGTCCCGCCTGCCACCACTGCGACTGCAGTGAGGACTCGGCCCAGCACACGCTGGCGGTCTGCCCCGCATGGGCGGCGCAGCGCCGGGCCCTCACTGCAGTCATCGGAGTGGATCTCTCGCTACCGGCCGTAGTACGCTCCATGGCCGGTAGCGACAGTTGTTTTACCGCGGTCGCAACCTTCTGCGAGGTAGTAATCTCGCGGAAGGAGGCGGCGGAGAGGGCCCGGGAGGACGACCTCCACTCGGACCCGATCCGCCGCCGGCGAACCGGGCGGCGGAGGCCCGCCTATCACAGCCTCATGCCGCCCTGAGTGTGGCCGCGGGTGGACGGGGTGGGTTTCCCCTCCACCCGCATTAGTTTGGCCAGCCGCGAGGGGGCGGCGTCCGCGTGTGCCGGACGTCGCCTATAAAGAGAGGAAAAACACTGAGACGGAGCCCGCACCAGGAGCGGGCTGGCGCTAGGAGGGGTCCGGATGTCTTAACAACAGCTGTTCCCGGATCCCTCCTGTTACAGGCTCAGAGTGGCACACCGTGTGGTTTTAGTCGGTCCGAGTCCGACACACCACCCCGCCGCAAATCCCGGAGGGGTGACGGTCCGAGGGGATTTCCACACGTTAAAAAAAAAAAAAAAAAAAAAAAGGGTTTGTTTTAAATTTTCCTTCTCTTTGCAATACTGTTGTCCTGCGTAGTTTACTCCCTTAGTCGGCTCTTACGACACTCATGGGATAAATAGGGATGGTGACACTCTGTATTCTTAATCCGTCACCACACGTAACTTGTATTTTAATAAAAGGCATTACTTAGTTCTAATGAAAGCACAGATTTTGTTGGACAAGTGTTGCATAAAGAAAAAAGAAATCAGTGGCATGAAAAATTTATTTGATTTTCTTTTAATTACATTATGTATTACGATATGCTAAAATAAATACAGAAATTGTTCGGATAACTTTTATCTTATTTATAATTATGTCCATAAATAATTATCGATAATTAATTCAATAATACACGGTTAAGCTTCTAACCCTAATTATTTATTTACAATTTAATTAATAAATTAGAGTAAAATTATGGTGATATCTAATTAATGGAGAAATGTTGTCTGAACACACGTTTTTTTTTGGATAATTAATTTAAATCTGCCTTATTATTGACAAGTATGTTGCTTAAAAATAAATATATATATTAGAATAGGTCGATAATTAAGAAATTTTGAAGAGGCGGATTCAGGTTTTGACTTATAAAGGGGTGTTATTTTTATTTAGCCAGAATTTGTGACAAGTTTGCGGACCAGTTCAGTGTTATGACCTCACGATCTCCTTTAGATCCGCCCTTGCATTGAGTAACAAGATGTTTTAAAAACAATTTTTTTAGGAATTATTTCACATTTAAAAATCCAATTAATTTTCGACCAGAATTTTCGTGATATAAAGCAGTGTTTTATTAAAACAGTAAATAATTAAATTACATTAAGAATTTTTCTTTGAATATTTTTTTTGTGTTTATAAAAATATACTGGCTATGTGTAAATTATACAAAGTGAAGATTTTTTCTGGTAACCTGGGAGGTTATTCATACTAAAAAATCAATCATGATCGCATAAACAATCATTGATATGTCATGTGTACACATTACAGAGTGTTGGTTTTTCCATTATTACTTATTATTTAATTTAATTTTAATTTGAAATGAAACTCACACAATGGAAGATTAGATTCAACAAGACTCGATACATTACAAAATCTAACGTCGCACGACCCGTATCGACATTTAATTTATAATACAATAAGAAGACGAAATATTTTTTAAATATTTGTGACGTTGCGATTAACACAAAATCTTTTGTCAATAGTAGGCATTATTTTTCTAATTTACACCTTATTTACAGAACAACTTTTGTGATTTTGGAAGAACAGTATATTTTTTTTTACAATTTAACAATGTTTAAGGTATTCAGTATAAAATAGTGAAATTTTGCATAAATTAATAAGCTGCTTATAGATATGTAACAAAATAATATATTAAGTAGACTTTTTTCATGAGTACTTGATTTGACTTTTTTTTTGTGTTTCTCGCAACGCACTGTTAAACTATCTTAAAAACTAAGTCGACGGCGGAAGAAACATTTGAACGCAAGACTCCTGGTGCCGTACCAACGACGATCACTGTAGCATACAGAAATAATCAAATAAATATAGATTTAGTTCGTATTAACATATTGTGAGTGAAAGGCACGATGAGTGTATTTACATTGCTACGTGGCGCGTTGGTCCGGCAGTGCAAACAGTCAACCCCAAATAAAAAATAAATAAATTAGGAATAATTTTGACTATATTCTCGATTATATTTCAAGTTTAATGAGTTCTTTTTTCAATTTAAAACCGACTTTATAGGTTTAATTTAACAAAAAATATTTTTTATTGAAATAATTGCCTATATAATTTGTTTTAAAGGGGTCAACCGTTTCGTGTAGTGATATAACGTGTGTGCTCCTTAATTTTGCGTGCTTAATATAATGATATGTATTTTTATCATTTTAAAATAAAATAATTCGCTTCAAAATAATTTCAGTTATCTTGTTCATATGAGGTTAGCTTTATAAAATGCTTGCCAGTAAACACTAGATACTTTAAATTGGTGATACTAAAGTGATTATATTGCTTTTTTTTTTAAATGAATTACGTAATATAGTTACGTCACGTAACTGAATCACTTTAATATTACTAAATTCGAATAGTTTGCTTTGCTCAGATGCATAAAATATTTAGAAGCTCACACAAACGACCGTTGATCAAAAGCAAGCATGGAATAAAAAATATATTTACAAAGTAATAATTATAACTATCGTGTGTAAATATTGTGTCGCGTGATCCCTATTATTTATACTACAAAAAGACTATCATTTAATATATTTGGAATAAATTCTCGAATTACAAATATACATCAAATTATATCAATATCAAGATACTGGAAGGACCCTGTTTAAGTCTCGAAGACCTAAAAGACCGACACGGTCTCACCACTGAGCGAGGTATAAGAAACTTAAGTCTTGGTAACAAAGATTGTAATAACTTTTTCGTCCATATATTTGAGAACTTTCAAACTTCGATCAGAATCAATCTAAATTTTAATCTTTAGATCTAGTTGTTAAGGTCTAAAATAAATTGGTGCTGTATCATTGAGTTGCTTCAGCGGTATGATAGTGCGATGGGTGGTAGCGCCAAACCTGAGGAGGTGAGTATTCCACGGGGACCTCTTGAGCCGCTCCTCCAGCGCCCCACATGAGCACAGTCTGCCGAGGCATCTCTGATGCTTGAGGCTGCTGCATTCGTTCTTGCTCAGAGTTACTAGACCCTGCAGGACTCGGTCCTGGGACTATAGAAGGTGACCTTCTTTCCTGTCCTGTTACAGGACTCATATATCTACCGCTGCTGTCTACGTAAGTGTATTCTCTTGAAGGTGGTCTGTGATAACTCGGTGCTACTTCGTAACCAGGAGGAGGTGCGGGTTCTAGGAAGCCATTTGGCGCATATGGTGTATAGTGGTAAGACAAAGGTTTATACTGATGGAAAAGGTTATCAGCTGTTAAGAATCTGTCGTCTAAAGGTGGCGGAGCATAGTGTAATGCTGGGGCCGGAGGGTATTCTCCATAAGGAGCTGTGTAAGCTCCGTTTAGATTGGTGTACGCTGCTGCTACGGCGTCTGCTGCTAAATAGTCTACTGGAGGCGGAGCTGGTGTTGTGGGGACTCTTCTCTTATTTCTACACGTTGATAAGAAGTCCCTCAGTTGCGTTTTATATCGTCTGGCTGCTCTTGGAGGCGTGGTGACGTTTGTCTCACATCCAGAGAGCTGTTCAGATTCGGAGAAGTAGAGGCTCGTTAGTCCAGTGTCCAGATAACTCACTTTGAAGTCCATCGTTCTTTTTCCTAAGAGATCTCTGCCCTCTTCTTCCCTGAAATATTTAAAGCGAAATTATTATACGATTCGAAGTTTATTTAGAAATTAGAGGTATTGTCTATATTGTAGATTTTAATGCATTATTCTTCAGTTGTTTGTAGCGGATAATGATCCTGGGTTCATTTTTTAGGTCAGACTAATTAGGTAAGAGTTTTTCCTGATAGGAAAGAGTCAGTAATTAAATACTGACTGAAAATATGTTTCAAGAAATGTGAGTACAGTGTAGGTACTTACATCAGAGGCCGATGCGTACTAATTACAAAATCAGGTTTGGAATTCTTGTAGACTAGTCTTGAGGAGGTCTGCAGCCATTGCCACGTGCCATCCTTGGTTTGGAAGCGGTAAGCGATCATTCCAGAAGCACCTGTTTTTAATACTGCAAAAAAAATTAACCATTTTTTTACCAAAATATTATAAGAGCCCATTTGTTCTTAACAAACCAGTATATACGTAAGAATGATTTGATTTCCTGTGTAATTCCCTTTTTTGTAATCCTAAAATAAATGTATTATTGACGATTTAAATTTAACGTAATTATCTTTGCAGGGTAATGTTATGATAGTTATACTAAAAAAAGAAAGATATACCTAATTGAATAAAATTATACTTTAATATTTAAGTTTATAATTAAGTTAAAATTAAATAAATATTTAAATTATTAAGTTTTTTTGTAAGGTGTGGTAGGAAAATGTAGAGATTAATAATACTGTTTAAAAATAACGTAAGCAATCAAATTCTTACATTCTTGATGCGCACTGGCGACGTACGCCAGGTCGTCGTAATGCACCAAGTCGTATCCACCCATATTCGCCAGCTCAGCGTCCGTATAGCCCAGCAACATTTTACCCCTGAAACACACACAAATAAATCGTTTATAAAGACGGACTTCTAAAAACGAAGTAATAACAAAAATAGCAATACTGTTTAACAAGCATACAGAGCTTGTAAGAATTTACGCCTTCAATACGATGAGAAATCTTTTAAAATATTGGGTCTCACTAATCAATCAATCTGAGCAGGGCCACAGCCTAATTTGTTACGATCCAGTCTTATTAGAAACTAGCTGACCCGCGCAACTTCGTCTGCGTCACTCAATAGTAATAAATTTTCTCCGTTTTTGAAACATTCTTCATTGGTGCACCGCTCCTATTGCTCTTAGCGTGATGATATATAGCCTATAGCCTTCCTCGATAAATGGGCTATCAAACACTGAAAGAATTTTTCAAATCGGACCAGTAGTTCCTGAGATTAGGGCGTACAAACAAACAAACAAACTCTTCAGCTTTATAATATTAGTATAGATGAGTAAAATGTTCCCTTCTCAAGAACCTTTTAGGGCTCAGCTTCTCAGAGCGCGTGTTAAAAGCGTGCCAGAACACAATAAATAAGTAAATGCAAATACGTAAATGAACATCCGAAATGTATAATATTCACACAAATTTCAGAGTAAAAAAGTGGCCTTTATGTTTATTTCAACTTTGTATTATTAAATTTTATTAGTAGGACCTTCAGTTAAATTATTACTTGCCTACAGTTTATTTAAAAAAGAAAATGAATAAATAATCGAAAAATTGTAAAAAGCATGATAAATTCGACATATGTTTTACGAAAGCGATAATATGGACATATCAGACACCTTAAAAGGTATATAAAGGATGGTTGAAGAGAAATTTTAACGAAAAATTGTTTTTTGGTGGATTCATATGAATCTCATTAATTAAGTGAATAAAGTGTGGTCTAGTGTAAATAAGTGTTAATTATCGGTTCACTAAAGTGTCAGTTGACTTATTTAATGTCAGTGGTTTAATAATGAGTGACATACTGTTTTACGCAGCTGCTAATAATTTATTTGGATAAGAAAAAATACATGTGCTTTATTTATTCTTCTTACTCACAAAAGTTTTTAATTAATTGATTATACACTTCGGTTTTTGCCCATTTTGGAAATGAATTGTCCACTTATAAATATCATCAAGTTTTCTTTGAAATTAAATGTTTAAGTATTTATTGGTTAATTAATGACATTTAATTCGGAACACCCAGAACTGTCTAGGAAGAAAGGTCTGAGTGGTGACCACTTATTGAAACGCCAGTTGGAACCTGACCAGAGTGACTAAATGTCGTTGAATCCAGGGGGGTTTTATCGATTTCATCATAATTCATAATTAGGTAGTTGTTAAAAATAAACCGAAATGATCATCATTATTTATGGGTAAAATCATCATATTACTGGAAAATGGGATCGTTTTAGCTTGTATCTATAGCGATATATTTATTCTATTATAAGCTAAAGAGATATTTCTTTAGCTTCAAATAGAAATAATAAAATGAATAATAAAAATATAATGAATTGCATGTAGATTTAATGCTTCCATTTTTTAAATATGCTATAAACACTTCAGGATTTTCGAAGATCAACTATTGAACCAGATTCAACCAGGCATGATCACCCTGCCCTCTGTGTTATAGGGACATACAAATTGTTCCTCTCTTATTACCATGAAACTTAAAAGTCCATGGTCGTCACAGATCAGGCAACTTATTGTTGACAAATTGGTTTATTTCAAAATATACTCACCTTTGATCCATGGAGACTAGAGAGAGATCCAGCTTGTGTTTGCTCTTGAACATGACTTCCTTCTGTGGGATCTCAAGCAAGCTGGGTGGCCCGAACGGAGCACATATCGCGAACAATGCTAATGGGGGCTCCTCAGTTTTCTTGTTCTGGCCGTGAAGGACTTTGATACGTCCTCGGATATCCAGCCTCTGTGTATAAAAAGAAGTGTGTGTTTGTGTTATTGTTTGTAACAGGAATGGTCCGACGTTAATGTCGAATGCCTATGCCTATTGACTTGTTTTACCTATAGTGTGTCTTGACTATTGTAAAATACTTGTTTCGACTTAATTTCGGGTTTAGATGAAGACATTTCTTAATAGTGATTCAGTCCTGCTAGCATTGAACCATACGCCACCGGGTCAAAGGTCTTTCAGATCAAGAGGTTTTAATTCACAAGTTTCCTATTGTTATCGTTTAATGTCGGTGTAGACAGTGGGCGGGGCGAGACGACGACTCGCGACGCGTCATGGATTTTTTTTAAATGAACGTGTCAATGTAGAAGTTGTCACAAAAGCATATCGCGTATGTCGTCCGGTCCTATTCCACCTCCGCCTGTTTGTTTCATTATGAAGTATGGTTTGATTTTGCACGACCTAAGAAATCGTTATTTACAATAAAATTCTACAAAATCTGCCGCCATTTTTTGTCTTTAATGATGTATGTACTGATTTGAATTGACAATAAACTACGGTATTTTCCAGAGATTAGTCCAGTCAGTGAATAGACAGAGATCGTTTTTAGGATGCATAATTTAAGAAAAAAAATAAAGCAATTTCATTCACAAAAACTTACCAAGAAACCTGAAGTATTATCAAGTAGACATCTAAATCTAACAGTAAAACTCCTCTCGAGTAGATGTGCCCTGTCAGATCTGAGGACGTCTTGCAGCGTGAGATTGCTAACTTCTGGAGGAAGAAAAGAATTCCAGAGAATCTGCCGCTGTAATTCTTCTCGGTCTTCGGAGTGGACGAGCTCGTAGACAGACTGGTGGACGATATCTGACTGAAAAAATTAAAACAAATGATTAACATTATGGCAATATTCAAAGCTAAAATATGAAAAAAAAAACAAGCAATAAATGTAAAACCGTGATGGTATAAAATCTTGTAATAGACGGAATGTCTTCTTAACATTGGAACACAATATCCAAAACACCCTAATGAGAATCAATAAACCCAAAGATAACGAGATAATTACTCTACAAATATAGGCTTTTAATAGAACAAAAAGAGCAAGTCATAATCAAACCGTAAATCAATAAACCACGACGAAGCCCTAGAAATCGATTGGCAGCTCAATCATTAAAGAATCATCTGTAACGAAGATGGACGTGTTAATTCCGTATCTGACATAAGCCATCGAATGCCTTGACTACCTCAAAATAAGTTTGAAAATAGTTTGAGAACCCACTCGATTCATTTTTATACACGTCACAGCACAAAGGACCATGTAAATAGTGTAGATAATGCAACAACATATGATGCGAGTACAAAACTAATAGATAATCAATGGGGTTACGCAAGGCACAAACTTGGATCCCCTCTAAATATGTAATGAATTTGTAAAATATGTATGGGGCTGGTATGGGTAGAAACATATTGCGTTGGCATTAAACGTCAAAAGATGATTTGTTAGGTAATTGCTTTTGTTCTCTTTTGTAGGGGGGTTGCTACGCTACGGAATCATGTTTTGTTGATACACCTTTGTTTTGGCAATTCTTCATCGCGGTTTCGTATTTATTGATGATATCATTTTTATGCATAAATTACTGTTTCGTTTTATTTTTTATTGTTAAAAGGGGGAGATAGACAGTTACCTGTGATTTAAAGTTGGGGCAATATTGTTTATCTTGATGAACTGGTCTGATTGAATTATGATATCATACGATGACAAAATAAAGTAAGTTTTGGTAAGCGATTTATTGCCTTAATTAATCAAGTGACTCACCTAAAACTAAGAATTTAAATTTCAAATCAAAATTTTGACTGCATAATTAATATTTTGTATTTAAAGTACGTATTATTTTGTACATAACTGATACAGAATACAGAAAGTACTAGTAATATTTATATGAAGTGGTCACTTTTTATAATTATGCATCGTAATAAACCTCCATTTGTTAAAAATATTTTACATCTTAAGTCAAAAATAGTGATTTGTGTGATTCATAGACATATATTTCATTCAACTGAATCGGAACTTTGTAACCTTTAATAGGATGACAATCTTTTGCCTTCAAAAAGCCTTTGAAATTGTGTACAAGTATGTGATTATTATAAAACCTTACATTATAAGTATTAAAAACGATAGCAAATTATGCCGACAAGTTTTTAAATTATCGTTTAACAAGAAGAAAGTTATTCGTTTGACTGCACGGATGGCGTTGTTATTTTTAGCGGTCGCCACGCCGCTTCCTACTGCGCCGAGTGTTGTGGGTTCAAACCCAACATGGGACGACACTTTGTGTGATCCACAAATTGTTGTTCTGTGTCTGGCTGTTCTTTGTGTCCGTTTCATGTATGTTTGTAAAGTCCCCCGCGACACAAGATATATTCCTAATGCGGGAATTGTGCGAATTGTGCACATTCAAGAACCGTAATGCGTTCGCCCTAAGAATTAGTCTTACAGGGCACTTTATTATATTTCGTTAGTATACCTAAAGTATTCATAAATATGTCACACAAACCTTTATGAAACATATAATAGCGATCTACCTTGTTGATGTAATCAAAGGTAGTGTTAAAGTTAAAACATGTAGCACTATCCTCGCGTCAAAGACCAGACTGTTGGCGATCGATATTGGCCGTCAGCCACCTGGCGTGGATTGCAGTTAATGGAACAATTCAACCACCCCTGGCTTAAAATTTGGATGCATTTGTTTTATTCTTGGGCTTTGAACTTATTATTAGTTTTGTCGAAATGATGGAGACTATTTGATGTTGTACATGCAAGGTAAATCTTCAGTTTTATTTTGATGTATATCTTTAGTATCAATACAAATAAATAAAATTTAAGTGCCTGTTTGTAATGTGAAAATAATAGGTTATGCTCACACGGTTAGTTGCACGATACCTATGCTTAAAATCCAATTTAAATATTTTTAGTCTGTCTATCTGTCTGTTTGTACCGGGTAATCTTCAGAACGGCTGGACCGATTTGATAAGGTTTTACTACCAAGTAGCTGTCTATATAAGAAGTAACTTAGGCTTAGGAAAAATCCCTTAAAATGTTGCCCGGTCCGGAAATCGAACCCGAGGCTTCATGGACTGCAGTCGCGTACCGCGTACTACATCACTAAGGCAGTGCTTTTTAAATTCCAGGCGAAAGAAGTTGCGGGTACCAGCTAGTTTAAAAAAATCAAGTATATTTATATTGTGTGTGTACATTTTGTAAAGCATCAGACTTTTCGTTAAACGTATTTTAAAATGATGAGCGTGTTGGTCTAGTGGGTAGCGATCAGGACTGAAAAGCCAGAGGTCATGGGTTCGATACCCACACAAGACAAATATTTTATGACGAGCATGATCATTTGTTCTGTGTCTTTGTATAATATTCAGACATATATAAGTATATTTATATACAAATATATATAGTGCCTGTGAGCGTGCCTGTGCCCTGTGAGCGATAGTAGGCGTACGTATGCCTACTAGGAATAAAAATTATACCCGGCTGAATGTGGACGTTTTAATATTCATCTATTTACCCCAACTACAAGTGTACAACGTACACTTGCAACCCAACAGTCACCAAGTGCTGTAGAATCAGGGATAGGAAAGGTTGGGTGCCCGAAACTCACACAATTGCTTTCTGTGAGCAATTAGGGGTTTCGAAAATCAACGAAAGCATCGCCTTACGCCGGTTTTCTACGATCTGGTATCACTCCGGTTGAGCCCATATTCGCCGAAGCATGGCTCTTTCGCGATAAAAGTCATGATACTAGTCGATTTAAAAAAATACATAGTGAGGGGTCTATGAACCCCTGGTAAGAACGAAGTTCCTTTAGCTTTTTGGTAGACATTTGCTATATATATGAAATATGAGCGTCCACGTGCCTACTGAAGTGTCGGAAAAAAGTCTTGTAATACATTTTTCGGCCCGCTCCCATCCGCTCAGAGCGTGTAACGCGCGATAAGAAACTTCGTAGCAATAATAATAATAATAATTCTTTATCGAAAAAATCAGAAATAAAATTTTTACTATCTGTAAATCTATGCTAATGTTATAAAATTAATTGGCTCTTGGCACTTTGAAAGCTAGAGTTAATGTCTGTGCTTGTATAAACTGTGTGACAGACACCGGAGCCTTCCTCCGACAAGTAAAATTATATAATTTTAGAACATTTACAAATAGTATAGTACTTTGTCAAAGTATGTTTAGTAAGAAATCTTATCTATACTAATATTATAAAGCTGAAGAGTTTGTTTGTTTGTTTGTTTGTTTGAACGCGCTAATCTCAGGAACTACTGGTCCGATTTGAAAAATTCTTTCAGTGTTAGATAGCCCATTTATCGAGGAAGGCTATAGGCTATATATCATCACGCTAAGACCAATAGGAGCGGAGCACCAATGAAGAATGTTTCAAAAACGGAGAAAAATTATTGCTATTGAGAGACGCAGACGAAGTTGCGCGGGTCAGCTAGTAAATAATATTAAAACAAAAGGTGTGTAGTGTAAAACTGTATGTGCGTGATTGTGTATGATGAGCGTGTTATGTGTGTACGAGTGTTTCTGTGTGGTGTGTGTTTGTGTGTATGTGTGTTGTAGTGTACACCATGACAACTTTAGATCACTTTCATGGGAACACTTTCTGTCTCTCATACGTTGCGTTTTAAGGTATCCCGTTATTACGTTCTTCGTACCAACACACATCAGTTGCTGAAAATTGATTTTCTTAATGTCTTTAAACAACAAGTCACTGTTCTATTGGTTCCATTGACATGGTTACAACCATACTATGAATGGTGGATGTACTGAACTGGCGTACAATAAAGTTTGTTCTATTTTATTTCTTTTATTACATTACAGTACCGACTACTACTAAACTACAAAGGTGAGACATACTAAAGAATTACAAAGTTATTGCTATCACCAAAGGATCTTTCTTTTTAAACCCTTGGTTTAACTAATAAAGTTATCACAATATAATCTACGGATTATGAAATAAAATTTATAAAAAAAGGGGCTAAGCTGTACTTAAAATTCAAGTGTACGAGTACTTTCTACCTAAAATGACAAGCACGAAACGGTATTTAGTGGTCAACATCTTTTTCCTTTCGCTCGAACAACCAGCTACTTATTTCATGTTAAATTTTTACACCACCTTGCTTTTATCCATATAGGCATGGTGAAATAAACGGTTTTAATTTCAACAATAATATTTACCTAGAAAATCTTTACTGCGTATAATCGGCCTCATTTAGGCCAGGTTTGGCACGTGGCACGCACAATGCCAGGAAGTGGCAAGTACCCGTACCGATTTAATGATTTATAAATCGATTTGTTTTAATCGCAAAGGGTGGTGGGCGTTCCGCTGATTAAGTATTGTAGATATGAAAATAGGTATTAACTTATTATATGGTATTTGCATTATTTATTGGATGGTAATTGAAAATAAAGGGATCTACATAGGGAAATATACATGTATATATATTTCTATAATTCATTTATTTTTTCAAATCCTAAAATAACTTACCTAGGTAAACATTACATTTATGGTACGTTTAATTACTCCATAATGTCTGTAATACCCTGGTTTTGGAGGGTAGAGGCAAGGAGAACCATCTCTGAATATAAAAAGTATGCAAAAACGTGTCCAATAAACCCTTATTGGACACGTTTTTGCATACTGGCAAAAACACTATTACACGTACGGTACTGGCTAGGATAAATTTATATTGGCTTAAGTTATAATTAGACACTGTGTACTAGACTGCGAAAATAGTCAATAAGCTTTACAGACAATAAATAAACGTGTAATAACTTTGACACAATAAAAGTGTTAT